ATGCAACACATAACATTTTTTAGTTGTTAAAAACATCATTTTTATTATGGTAAATCATTTTTATAATGGTCATAATCCATTGGTATCAAAAATAGGATTTTAGAGCTCAAAAATAGCAATTTCAGACAAATTTTCGGATCAGAACTTCGGGGGATCGATCCAGCCCTCTGGATCGATCCATACCATGAAAATTTACTCCCAGGGGATCGATCCAAGCCCCTGGATCGATCCAGACAGTGGCTTTTCAGCCACTGTTCATCGTCTTCTACCTCGCGACTTCAATTTCGGGAATTCCATTTTTAGGTTTCAAACTTCGATTAAACTATATAGAAATGTTCTCCAAGTTTCAAAGATCATTTTGGCATCATTAATTCATAGTTTTAACATCAATTTAATGGTTTATGATTCTTGGTTCTTCAAGCATGTCAAACACAAAACTCAACCAAACGACCGTTTATGAACGTAGAAACGATCTATACGAACATTCTAGTCATTAGATATATCTACGGGCTTACCTCGAAGCTTATTGAAGGTTTTGGAAATTTTCCGGCGAAACTTCCGGCGAGGTTTGTGGCTAGCTCCGACGACTTCAACAACAATCAACAACACCAGACCACTCTCCTCACTCTCAGGATTGATATGGGCTAATTTTGAGAAAAAATGATGCATGTTTGAAGGTTTTGAGTACTCCTTATATAAGAGTTGATGAAGGGGAAGAGGACATTGCTGAGCTGCTTCTACGTAGGAATCGGCTGAGTGGAGGAGGAGGCGCCGTTCGCACAGTGTCCCTGATTGGGACCAATTTTTGGTTCCAGTCGGGGTACACTTTTTGGTTCAACTTTCTCCGAATTGAAATCCGTTTGCACCGTTGCGATCAGACAGTCGAACTCTATCCAACGATATAATTTTTATATTCATTCGTTATAATTTTTCCGACACCACATTTTTGGGTGTTTGACTTTAACAGAGTAAAAATTGGTTTAATTGACCTTTCTCATAAAAGGTTCTCTCATTTAATTTATA